AAATCCTTTTCTTTTTTTTAAAAAAAAAAAGGAAAATCTAAAACAAAAATAAACTGTCAAAGGGGTACAATGTTTTATTATGGCTTTAAAAACAGACATTTTAAGAGAGTATATCTATTCACATAATATATACAAATATATTAACCTTTAGCATTCTGCATTATTAATATTACTTTCCTTTCCACTGCATTCTATTTCGAAGCCTCTCAAGTGCAGTATCTTTATTGTTAATTTCACTCCAAGTTATTTTCTGTTGCCATAGCAGGATATGACAACACAACTATGAAATTCAAACACACTGTTGTTCAGGGATCAGAGTCACCTTCAGTAGCAGGATAAATATTTTGTACAGCAAATGAAGTCACATAGAGAATGATAAAGGTTAAAACAAATCAGGGGTAAGAGCAGGGATAAGCAACAAAATTATTCTGATTCACTGAAAAGTGATGAATTGAAAGATATAACAAAAAAGAGCCAACTGGTTATAAAACCTTGCAGTTCAGGGCTCTATCGAGGACAAAACATGTGCACAATGATAAAAAGAGGGAGGGAGGAGAAAATACTACCCAAGCAGTATAAATCACAGATGACTTTTTGACTGAGCAACCATTCTTTCTGTTTCCAGGGGATAGGCTGCTTAGGTTGTAAAACTCCATGAGTTAACACATTCATGCTTTTTACTTACGTTATTTAAAACTTAGGTATTTACATATTTCTACATATAACTTTATCTCACGGTTACCCCACCACCACCACCACTTGTCTTTTTGCATATCCTTTCCTGTGTGAAACTCTAACGACTCATTTTCAACATGAACTCAAGTAAACTCTCTTCGCCTCAATTTATATCAATTCGGATAACATTACTCCTTGGGGGAAATATGTAAATGACATTTATTTATTTAAAAAAAAAAAAGAATGAAAAGAAAATGATGGCAGGTTCACATTACTTTCTAAGTAGCACACAAACTTATTTGAAATAAATATTTGAGTACCTGTTCATTACCTTCCTTCCCCTTATTTTAACCATTAGACTTTCACAAAGAAGTAGCTATCAAAAACAAATGAGTTTTGAGTTGAGATGTGATCGTCATAATTACATGTCTTTAGAAAAGCTTATTTTAACTTTTAGTGTCCAGACATAGTTTCAAAATTTGATAAAAAAAATTGTATAAATTGATAAGTCATAAATAAATTGTATTTTAGTACAATGTGTAAGTACATACTGTATTTTAATCTTTTTCATGTATATTATTGATAAAAATAAAATAACCAAAATTTATGCTTGTCTGGTATAAAAAAAAAAACCCAACAACCACCCTGTTTTAAAATAGATTCTACTAGTGGCACTAAAAAGTTAATCAAATTGTACATTTCTGATATTGCCTTAAAAGTATATTTTTAACACACTTATACAAGTGTTAGAGTTTTTGTTGGCATGGGATGTAGTGATTATAGATGTTATGTTCTCTTTTAACTGCCAGAATTGATTAAAAAGAGAATAATGATTTCAAAATAAAGTAAAAATTTCTTCTTTCTAGCAAGTAATCTACTGTTTACCAAATGTTCAGTAGTCACAATGTATAAATATACCAACAAGAAGTAATGTCTTTCTGTAACTATTTATTCATATTTTATCAAATTGCTTTGTAGAATAGAGTTGAGGTGATCAGAATAATTATAAAAAAATAAAAAGGCCATTGTAACCATATGGATATTTTATTATTGATCCCACAGAAAGAATGTCTCTTTACTTGTACCATTGTAAGATCTGTGATGATTTCTGCTTGGAAGTGAAATATTTTAGCATCAAGTATTTGTAATAAATGTAATCCCAAAGTGAGTAAATTTTGGGCATCTTCAAAATGTTTCATCGGACGTATTTATAAAAAGATGTGAATTTAAAAACCCCATTTTTCATATTTTTATCCCAAACTTGTTGGACTTCACTCACCATGTCCTCAAATTACGATAAATAAAATACTGTGTTTCTGTTAACAAACAGACAAATCTTTCTGTCTGAATGTCTCCCTCCATAGATTAATTAATGGGTTCACTTTAATGTTACCCAGATTAGAAAACACCTGAAGAAGGCTGGAGAGCATGTTGGCTGAAATGTTATGATAATAACAACAAAGATGAGGATATTAGTCCAAATCCTTCTATTTGAAATTACTCATAATTTTTGCATGTGTGTAGATTTTATCTCTTACAAGTGAACTTTGCAGATTTACTTTTCATTGTCTACATGCATTTGTTAAAATAAAATTAAAATGAGAAGGCACTTAATCCATAGGACATTTCCCTCTTATTTGTGGTTGCCTAGCAATAGGCAGGGGTAATCTGCTGATGTATCAAAGAAAATATCTTCTCTCAAGGACATGAATTGATCTGACTGCAATTGAAACCATAGTGGGTAGCAGTAAGTTCAAAGAAAACACTTAACCCAGAATCAAGGCCAGATATTTAGGTGAAATATATGATGACTACTCATTTTGTTTTCTGTAGGAAAGGGAGATGTTGCCTAGCACTCCCTTGCACTATATATATATATATATATATATATATATATAGCAACATTATTTTGTCTATTTTATTAGTGCATTTCTTTGAGTTACACCTACACCCCACTTCATTATCTTTGATTCATTGTGTTTTTATTTTTATTTTATCCTCTTTCTTTTTAAAATGTTTTTTGTCATGTATTATATTGCGAATTATGCCTCATTTAACATTTTGGGATGCATTTCATATGAAAAGATTACAAACAACCTTTTAGATAATCTGACTTTAAATTTTAATAAAAAGAGTACAAAATATCTTTAAATTTTGATTGACTTTTTGTGACTAATTACAGCAATGTAATCACATGACTGAACTAGCTTTTTGCTCTGTCAACTTTCTCAACTAGAATGGAAATTTTAAATATTTGTTTTTGGTATTTAATATGTTTAGTGATTTTTTTTCTTATTGTTTTCTGCAAAACTGACATTTTTAAAAAGACATTTTAACATTATAAATAAGACATAACTGCAATAAAATACAGGCTGAAAACTTCCCTTTTTTTAAAAAAAAATCTCTTCATCCCAATTTCATCAATTTGTTTTCATTGTTTGTCTTCTACATTAGCCACAGTGTGTCACCTTGAAACAAGTAGAATTCTCCACATGTGAATCTGTAGCAAAACCGTTTTTATTGTAGTGACCTGCTCGTTCAGTTGCTCATATACACACAACCACACTCACACACACACACACAGTTTTGTTAATGGAAAATCTTTTGTTAGTATTTAGTTGGTCAGAATGCCTTAATATAGTTCATCTATTAAACTCATAACATATATAGTCTGCATATATGTTTAGAAAACTTTTTTAATTTATTGTCATTGTATTTATATATGTCAATGTTTTGCGTATTTGTTTCTCTTTCCATAAATTTCTTATTATTTTGACCTTTTTTTGCTATTTTCAAACTTAATTTGCCATATAAATTTTTTATTGGCAATTTGATTTTTTTTTCATGCAGAAATGTTGTATAAAATATAAAAGTGAAACATAAATTAATATTTAGAAAATATTTATTTCCTAAAAATGGAAGAAAAGAACAGATGACAATGTTATTGTGTCAAGCTTTTGATAATAATGATGAAAATGTTATTGAGCCTAGAAACATTGTTTTGATGAAAGTTTTTGAAAAAATTAGTCAATTAAAAAATTTTAACAAATTTAATTAGTGTCAGAAAAAGGAGGAATTGCATAAAATATATTAAATTATTGTTTAATAGAATTTTTTTTTATAGAAACACATTTGAAAGATTATATTTACTAGTTAGATCAAATTAAAAATGGAGTTTTGCTGCCTTATTTTGGCTGGAGCTGCCCAATTTTCTTTTTCCAGCCTTGACAGAGTTCAAAACCATTTACGCAGCCTTGTAGATAATGAATTATTTTCCACCCTACAACCCCTTTCCCTAGAGACATAATGATGCAAGCCTCTTGCTACTCTGTTGATATTTCCATGTCAAAATGTTCTGATAAGCTACATTCCTTAGTTCCACCCATTCAGACCTTTGCAGCTCAGATCCACCCTGCCACATACACAGAGGCGAACCATCCTCATTCCTCCCTTTGTATTCTGATATTAAAAAGGATGTTCCCAAGAATTGCTATTTCATGGAACAGACTCCCAAGATGTTGCTTCCCCAACTGTTATGATTTTAACTTCTCCAAATCTACAGTCAACCATTTATCTAACCTGTATATCCTAATAATCTGCACTTACTTCCTCCTTTTTTACCCATACCTCATTTTGTAACCCCTCTACTTTGAGTGGTTCTTGAGACTTGTATTGGGCAAACATTCAGTTAAAAAAAGTATTGGTTAAAAAAAGAAAAATGTACATTAAGAATAAAAATAATTAATATGTAAGATAATATGTCTATAATAACAGATTTCATGAGTTAAAAGCAAAATTTACTGCAAATTATTTACAGCATAAATCTATTTCAATAAATTTATTTATAGGAATATATAAGAAAAGCAAATAATAGATATATGCTCAAGAGAATGTTGAATAAAAAATTTATTGCAAATAGCTAAGTACTGAAAAAAAAAACAGATCAGTAATCATATATTTTCAAAATCTTTATTATTGTTTTTTCTTGATATATTTATAGAAAAAATGGCATCCAAATAATCACTCTTCAACAATGAAGTGAAAAATGTACATTTTTATATTTTAAAGAAATTCAATGTCCTAATAAAAGAACATAGAAAAAGATAAGCCCACCTCATGACCAAGACGGTAAATAATCAGGGTGGGTTTGAGCTCAGGTGAAAAAAAACAAACAATAACAAACAAGATTTCAAACATGAGAACAGCTTTCCACACTTGAATGATTGGCATATAGCATAATCTCTAATTTCTCTTCTTTACTTGGCCTTGTGTCAGTCTATAGAAACTTAGTCAGTATCTAATAAAGTAAGATAAAAACTGGGGCTTATGGCCACATCACATTGAAACACCAGTTCCCATATGATCACCAAAGTTAAGCAAAGTCAAGCCTGGTCAGTACCTAGATGGGTGACTTCTTGGGAATACCGGGTGCTGTAAGCTTGGATGTGGGGTGATGTAATGGATAATGGCTCAGAATTCTTAATCAGAGAGCCGAGTTCCAATTCCTGTTGGGTTTATTATATTCACTTAAGCACAAATACCCTTGGGAAAGGCATGAATCCACTTCTTTTTGCCCCAGGCTATAGGTTAATTAATGAAACTTGTATCACTGAATCATTATTATCTCCAAAAAAAGGAATTCTTACAATCTAAAAATATTTTCTGGTTTTAAATAACCTGAAAAGAGTTGATTACCCATAGAAAACAAATTAGTTGATCAATCATATATTACTTGGCCTTGTGGCAGACTACAAAAACTTAATCAGTGTCTAATAAAGGAAAGTAAAAAAAAATGAAGAAAGCAGCAGAATGTAAAACTTGTTAATTCATCACAGAAAATGGTTTGGGTTTTTGGAAATTCTTTTCATTGTTCGTTCTTTTTTTTCTGGTATTTTCAAGGTTATTATTTATAAACATTATTTTGATACTACAGCCAATTTTATGGCTCCATTAAATTTGTTTAATGATTTTTAAGGGTATTTAAGAATTGATTTCCTAGAATGCCATTCTTCCCTGCAACTAAAATCCTTTAAAAATTAAAGATTCTTTACCAATTTAGCCCTACTGTGTTATGCTGTTTAAAATTGTCGAATGATTATGATTGTGGAACTGTGGCCTCTACACAATAGCTTTGTTTTGAAAATGGATAGAAAAAAACATTGGAAAAAAATTAAATGCCTCATCATCTTTATTGTTGCTGTTCTTTTTTCACAAATAATGACAAAAATAAAAAATAATAACAAAAAATATTGCAGAATTTAAATGAAAGAGATAAGCAGGATTTTTTTTTTAAGCAAAATGACAGCTGCCTGACATGAATTCTATATTTTTAGCCAGAATATGGATAATTTTTCCAGAAAGCAATGAATTCTTCATTGCTTTTATGGTTTTATTTTCCAAACCTTAAATCCCATAAAACAAATATGAAAATTCAAAATTTACCTTCTCATGTGAGAAAAATTATAAAGATATTATTTTCGGGTGGAATTTCAGCATGAATAAAATTAAAAATTCTAAACATTTGTCTTTTAAATGGAAAAAATCCAACACATTGAGTATATAATCTACACTTTTTGTACAACAAGCTTAGTCAGTAACCCTCTCTCTTGAGCGGCTCTTAGGCCTTGTACTTGAACAATTAGTTAAAAAACAAAAAACCCTGTTCAACCAGTTGAACTTCTTTTTTGCATACTCGCTGCTGTTAATGTTTTGGTTGATCCATTCTTCAACTGTTGTCAGGAATATTCCATCAGTATAATTTTCCACACTACAACCCAATTTCTACAAACAAAACATTGCTAGCCACTTGCTAGTCTGTCACTGTTTTGATAGCATATGTTTAGACCAGCTATATAGCTTAGTTCCACCAGTTCCGACCTTCACAGCCAGGACCTGCCATGTTGATTCAGCCACATTCTTTTCATATTCCATTAGTAAAGAAGAAGTTTCACAGGCAGCTTCTTTCCCAGAACTTTTACTTTGTGGAACAGACTCCCAAGAGGATGCTTCCCCAATCACTACGATCTTAACCTCTTCAAGTCTAGGGTCAACAATTATCTATCATATATATCCTCATAACACGCACTTCTTATTTCCTCCATTTCACGCTTAAAACAATCTCATTCATTAAGGTTCTACCTTGAGTGGGTCTCAGGCTTTGTATTTGGTGAACAACAGTATAAAAAGAAGAAAAAGAAACTTCTCTTTTGAAGGTAGTGCAAAAATAGACATTGATGGAACCTAAGTGGCCTTATCAGTCAGTTGTATAAGGCAAACTAGTACAGATTTCAACACTGGTTTTCTTTGCTAAGCAAAGTGGATGCTGGGGGACTATTCACCCTCTCAGATATAGTATAATTTGGAATTGACTAAGTACTAGATTTTGTCCATTGTTACTGAAACGGATTAGTCAGCTTGGTATATTACTGTCCATTTTTTCATTTGCTATTTTCAATTTTCTTTCCTCCTGGAATATGCCTGGTAATGACCAAAGAATAGACAATTGAAAACATTGTTTTTACAAAGAAAAGATCCAATTATCCAAATAATGTTGAATATGTTAATAACTCTTCTCTAAGTTATAGACAATACATTGATTAAACATGTGATGAAATCATTGTATTTCACTGATATTTTCTTATTTTATTTACCATAACTAGATGTCTAAGGCTTTCTATTTGTCTTGAGTAAGAGCAGAATTCGGTCCCATTGTTAACTTAAGGATTGAATTTAATTTTCAAAAGAATTAATAAAATCTATATCACAAAAACAAGCCTGTTATTAAAAGACAAAGAATTCTGCTTCCCATTGCAAATGATAAACTATAAATAATGACTCTCTTAGATGAGAGGAAAGATATTAAAACACATTCTCTCTCACTCACATAATCAAATGGCATTAATTTTGAGGGGGGTAGATATTTATTCTAAATAAGACAGAGGAAAATTTCAGTGAGCATTATAAGAATGAATTTTATTACCATTTTTATGACTTCATTTTTGATTTTATTAATGCCATTATATTCATACACGCACACACGCACACACATATATATATGTAGAAAATGAATGACAAAGTGAAAAAAATTATGTGTAATGTGTTTTCTCTTCTCGAAGAACTTCATTCTGCTAAAATAATGTTTTATTCCTGGAATTATATGTTAGTGGGTGGAATATAAAAAATGTCAGCATCAATTACAATTGTCATTTTTTTTTTTTTTCAGACATGTCTGGACATGTAAATTTAAAAATTCAAAATTATAATTGTCACACATGTTTGTGTTTTTACATCACTCCCTCTTGCACACATATAATTCCATGAACAAAAACATTACTTTAGTTCAATAACGTCCTTCTAGAGGACAAAATGTATTACACAGAATTTGTTACTATATATATATATATATATATATATATATATATATGTGTGTGTGTGTGTGTGTTAAAAAATATGCCTTCATAAACTCTTTAAAGTTTTATTCATAGCCCTTTTGTTTAAATTTCATCAATTTGCCAAAAATATTCTATCAAACTGTATTTGTGTTTTTACATGCCCTGTGTAAAAGGACAATTTACTTGTTGCTAAATGAAGGCAAACTCAGCAAGTTAACAGTTTACCAATATACTGTGATGTTTAAAGAAAAAAAAATGAAAAGAATATTTGAATAGTATATAAGTGAAGTTTTATGTTTTGCAAATAACTGACTCAAGCAAAAATGTTTGCTTTGATATAATATATTTGTTAGTAGAAACTAACAGCTAGGGCAGTTATTCACTGAGGCTCTTCTTGAAACAGTTGAAATCAATTCCTACAAACTAAAATAAATAATCAAATTACAATCTAAGATATTAAAATAGCTAAAAAAAGAAAAAAATGTATAAGTGATTTGATCAGAATCTTTCAGGCTAAAGACCCACTTCCCCAAAGAATTGATATTCTGATATTTGTCCATTGAAACATTGATTTTAAGAAACCTCCCTCATAGTTTTTTTTGTATGATGTTAGGATTTCTATCATATAGAAATAAAATAAAGAATTATTTATTTACAGTCAACATCTTCAAAAAATCATATTTAACTATTAACAGTATTTCTTTAATATAATATACCAAATTACTTTTTTACATATTACTATTTGTTTTTATTTATTTAACTGTAAAAACGGTGCCTTAAATTTTCTGTTTTTCAGAGATATGTAAACAAAATGTAAAGATTAATACTTGAGAAAATACGCATAATTGAAGTTCGATTTTTTAATAGACTCTCTAGTAAAATTAAAAAAAAAACATAAGTTGTTGTTCTCTTTGGAACACGTTTAGCTTAGAATTGAATCACCATGATTATTTTTTATATTGAATATTGTTCTAAATTTATCTTTTCCAACTTTTGTAATTGTATCATTTCGTTCATTCCTCCAATAATATATTTTTAATATCATCTTTTTTTTCATTGTCTTCAAAGTTGTCTTTATTATCAGCAGTTTTCATTTCACTTTCAAGTTTTACAATTATCAACAATGTCTTATATTTGGAAATTTCTTAATTTTGATTCCTTTTTATTGATTAATTCATTTGGCTTTGAAAGTTGGACATTTCCAGCATCTTACATTGTTTTAAATAGCCATGAATTTTGATAAATTGAGCTTTATCACGAGAAATTTTAGTATAAATTGGTTTATTGTAGATTTCCTTTCCCGTGGCATGCTAAGGGGAGATAACTCATTTCATTAAATCAAGGAATTATAACACTTGAGTTATGACTAACGTTTGACGTCTGTGAGACGATAACTCAGAAAAATCGGTCAGTTTAATAAATTTGGATTAGGGTAAAATCATTTGATTTTAGATCTTAATCTATTAACAACAAATGACTTTATTTTACGCCATTGCCCAAATGCAAATGACAGAAATTTTTGTCATAATAAATTACGGTAATGCTGCTGATTAAACAGGGATTTCAGAGGAAACCTCTTTGTGCTGTGGCTTTATTTTTTCGTAATACAAAAAAAAATTTGAGTTGCCAAAAAATAAAAATAAATACAATATCCCCGTGTTATTGTGGCAGCTGGGTTCCAATAAGGGGTTAAGTCCATAAATAATAGTAAACTATGTTTACATATGAACGAAAATATTTTCACTGAGAAATCCAAAACAATATTTAAAAATAAAAATTTTAAAAAAATTCATTTTTTTTTTTTTGCATGAAAGAAAAAACACAAGGCCAAAATATGTATTGAAAAAGAATAAGAAAAACACATTTTCAAAATACGTTTATTATTAATGATTTGTTTCTTCTTCTTTTTTTCATACATATTTTTTTAAGTAGTTTTAGTTTAAGAAAACTACAAAGATTTGCTGATTGGGTCAGTTGTGGATAATTAAAACTGTGATTAGCAATCAGTTGATGGTATAGATTCTATTGTAATTCTAAAGTTACATAT